TGTAAAATCAAGGGCACGCCGTTTGGCAGACACCGCTGCAGGGCCGTAACCAGGGGGGGGGATAGGGGGTTCTGACCCCCCCCGAAATTTTTTTCTGGGTACGGCCCTGGTCGGTGCACTGGCAGCCAGCCGATTTTAATCTCCACCTCTGCGCACGCGCAGTGGCGCCGGTCGGCTACCGGGTACCAAACCGGGACCGGTTCTCCGGTTTGCTGTAACTCTCCATTATATGCCACCGATGCACATAATTCATAGGCGAAAATAAGACAACAGACACTTTCAAAATGGCCGCCGTTGTCTCCGAAAACCCCCCCGAAATTTTTTTCTGGGTACGGCCCTGCACCGCTGCCTGTGACTATGTGCAAGTCCATGCATAGAAACAGCTCTCCTGTGGCCAAGAGGTAGCTACAAGCGAGTCCCAGTTAAGCATCTGTGTGCAACAACCGTACGGCTGTTTTCAAAGGGTGTTGGAATCTGCAGTAGTCAATCGTTACATGTAATGGTTTAGACAAGTGTTCTAAAAGCGATTCAAGGGAAAACTCTTTGGAACATCCTTACCAAAAATGTGTTGTGGAGAGGCCCCCATTCCAACGCATATTTAACTTCTATTCACATGTTTTCCTGAACAGGAACAAAGGGTCAATGTTAAACGACAAAAAACATGTACAAAGAGACGAATGCTAATTGCGTTGAATTATAACAGTGATTTACAACTGGCCATTCAAAAGTAACTATTTCATTTAACTCTTTCAGGCACGGTGGTTATCCCCACTGACCACCTTTTCAACATTTTTTCCCCTTGCAGCACGGTGGTCTAGCTCAATAACCACCAACGGCGCTCTTGTTCGAGCTTCCTCCTCATAACTCTAGATGGCGCTAGCTTCCCTTGCGCTGTCTTCCATTCAGAAATAAAACTTCCATTTCGTGCAACACATGCCATGGCACCTCCAACCTTTCATCCGAAAGCTTTCTACAAGCATAGCGGTAAGAATTTGCTCTACCTCCTTTTTTCTGGGTGAGACAGTGAATAAGTGTAACGTGCACGTGGTTCAAAGAAGTAACTGGTTCGTTTTATAAAAACGCGATGCTGCCCGTTTCAATGTGGTGGTTACCACCAGTAACCACCATGCATCAATGGAGGTGGCATTCGCATTTTGATGTGTGATAAGGGGATCCTGTTCAAGGAACGTGAACGTCCGTTTCAGATGGTTGCGAAGAAATCCCCACAGACACTGACAGCCTTATTGGCGGGGACAACACGAGTGACAGCGACAGCGATTGGGAACCACCTTGCCCGCCTAATGGAAGCGCTCGGGACACCTCCCCCACATCGCCAAGGAATTGCCACGTGATTAGCGATTCCACCGACTCGGAAACAGACGATGATACTCCCGTTGCCCCAGCAAAGGTTCCTTTGTGGAGTCCGAGCTATAGGGTGCACCCACCACTAGAATTCCTGGCTGACACTCGGCTTCAAAGCCATATCCTCGATTTAGAAGAAAAAGATCCATTTTCTATTTTCAGTCTTTTATGGACCCCTTCCTTGATGAAAGAAGTGGTTTTTCAGACGAACCTGTATGCCCAGCAGGCTGGAAAACCATACACTCCTACGACAGAGCAAGATATGCGATCTTTCTTGGGTCTGAACCTCCTCATGGGTATAAAACGGAGTCCAAGCTACCGGGATTATTGGTCCAGCGCGCCGGACCTGCATGACCCATTCATATCGAAGATCATGACAGTGAACAGATTTGGTTGGCTGCTGTCTCATCTGCATCTAAATGACAATGTGCTACAGCCACCAAGAGCCCACCCTGATTTTGACCGGCTTTATAAAGTGAGGCCACTTTTATCGGAACTTTCACGAAGCTTTGCAACAAACTACCTACCAAAGGAGTACCTCGCAATGGACGAGTCAATGATCAAGTTCAAAGGCAGGAGTTCCCTAAAGCAGTACATGCCAAAAAAGCCCATGAAACGTGGATACAAGGTATGGATGTTGTGCGCCAGCACCGGCTACAACCTGAAGTTTGAAATCTACTCTGGAAGGTCCGAAAGCGGAGTGCAAAAAGAGTTGGGTGCACAGGTTGTCAAGAAATTGTGTCAAGACATATCTGGGAGGCATCACCGTGTGTTCTTTGATAATTATTTTACGAGCTATGGTCTCCTGAAGGACTTGAGGGAACAGGGAATATATGCGTGCGGAACAGTGAACCACAACCGGAAGCATCTGCCCAAGTTGCAAGCCGACAAAGAAATGGAAAGAGGGAACACTGATTGGTCAGTCAGTGATGAGAGTGTTTGTTGCATGAAGTGGAAGGACAAGAGAACTGTCCACCTTTTGTCGAACTTCCACGGCCCCACGCAGGGGGCTGAAGTCGACTGGAAAAACAAGGATGGGACCGTCACCAAGGTACCATGCCCTGCTGCTCTCCATGACTATAACAAAAACATGAACTTTGTAGACAAGTTTGACCAAATGAAAGGGCAGTACGAAATCGATCGGAAATAAAAAAAATGGTGGCACAGGATATTTTTTCACTTCCTGGACTGCTGCGTGGTGAACGCATACATAATCTTCAGGGAGATTGAAGAAGCTGAGCGGATGACAATGAAGGATTTTCGCCGCAGTGTGATCTCATCATTGACTGCTGAAGCACAAGTAGCCTCCAAAGCCAAGAGGAGGTCCTCTACCGATGCAGCTGTGCAACTGAAAAAGTCAAAGCCCCGCGTTGACACGAACGTCCGCCTGACTGAGAGCAAGCACCAACCAAAAAGATGTACACCCCGCACGTGTGCAAGGTGCAGCACCAAAACGAAGCCGTCCAGAACAACGTGGATGTGCGAAACGTGATGTTCCACTCTGCCTGAGGAAAGAAAAAAACTGTTTTTCTGACTTCCATAAAAAATAAGTGCCACCCCATTCAGCATGATGGTCACCAGGAATGACCACCTCATATGCAGTCACTGCGCGGTAATACATTTTTTTAGTTTGGGAAAATAGTGTTCTTAGCACCGTACTTGACTATTTATACAATAAAATCAGGTTTCTATTTTCAACAAAACTTCTGTGCCTGAAAGAGTTAAAAAATAGAGGGGCCTTATCAGTAAGTACACACTGGTCCACATGCCTTATACACGCTGAGGAATGTTGGAGCAGACAGGAATACACGAAGCAAAAACGCCGAGGAGCGCACGTCAACCGACTACGAATCGCCCGTCAGACCAGCCTGTAGTCGATCACTGTTGCTAAATACGCATCGGAGCAGATACGTATTGAACACATCCCGAGTACACGCTGAAGCACATATTTAAAACACACAAATAGGCACACACCGCGACACGTTAGGTCACGGACAGGAACACACGAAGCCGTAAAGGGACCCGTGACGACCCACTACATACCACTACGGATTGACGGTCAGATGAACCCCCGCTTTCATGAAAGCCCCCTACTGTAGCCGTCCGCTGTAGTCGCACAAGTTGTAGCGTTAGATTAGCTGGCTATCATTCCAAATAGCAGCGCGAACGGGAGACTGCTTGCTCTTGTAAGCGTAGCTTGCCGGGAACGTCAGCAAAACTGATCAAGCGGTCTGAAGTCATGATCAAAAACTTTGACGGTGATGACGGCCAATAGTACTGGCGTTTCGTTAAAAGCAATGCACACTTCCTGCTCGTAACTTCAAATTATGAAACACCCGAATAAAGAGAGCAACAGGCTCCACGACCGCCATCCCGCTGAGCCTTCGACCGCCACTCCGACTCGTCCTACGAGCGGAAACGGAAGTGGCCTCACAGTGTTGCCGGGATTTCGAGACTACAGACTCAACAACGTTGTTTACGTTTAGCGAAAAAGATGTGGAAAAAAATGGCGGTGGAAGAGGATCTGGGAAAGGGTAACAAGCAGTTGGCGCCACCCTAAAGCTGAGCGGAAACATGTAGGCATCCTAAGTATACTATGTGGGAAATTGCCAGCAGACAAATACTGCCCAGTCTTGAAGGACAATTATTAGCTTTTTCTTCTAGGTATCGTTTCCTACTACAGAATTGTCACTGCACCAGTCTTTCAATCTGGAGGCCCCTTTTAGCACCAGTAGCTAGCAAATCTCACTTCTCACCGCATGTTCCAATTCTTTTGCAATATTCTCTTCTGTCAGTTACGCCATTCTGCTCTATGTGTTCATGTGAATAAAAAAAGGTGTTTATTGCTGTTTGCATTTGTAAGATCCTGCATGCTTTTTGCAAGAACCATCCTTCTTGCCAAAAATTGAGGGTGAATAAGAAGTTACGCAAGGTGGAAGCATGCCCAAAAAAAAGCATGCCAACAAATATGTAGAATGCGAAACAGCGGTGGTTTACGAGATACCAACGTCATGCGGGAGAACGTATATAGGGCAGACAGGGAGGTGTGTAAACGAGAGCGCCAGGGAGCATGACCTTTCTGTTGGGCGGTCAACCTCGGGAAACTTGGCCGTTCATTGTGATCGGTGCCCATGTTCTCCTGCACTCGATGAAACGCAGATTTGGGACAATATAAAACAACAACAGAAAGAGAAATCTTTGAGGCTTTTAAAATCAGGGTGAAGGGCGATGCTGTGTCAGTACTTCCTCAGTCCTTTTATCAGATAAAGAATTTCAATTCCTTTTACGAGAAGTTTGATAATAAGCAAATGGTTGCTTGAGTGTGTATATATGTTTGTTTTTCCGAATAAAAATTCAGTTGAAAGTAGCACATTGTTTCGTCTATTCCTTCTGTTGCCCTTGTTTTCTGGCGCTTTTCGAATCTAAGATGTATCAACTTGCCCTACTCCAGATTCTTCCAAAAATTAAACTGCGCATATTTACAAGGGCGGCACGTATAACAACGATTTTGTCAATCGTTGCCATGCCCCTGTCCCCCTTTTTTTTAGAAGTGAGGCAGGAATGATGCGCTGTAGGAGGTGGAACTTCTTTAGCTGACCAATGGTTCTCTCGACTTGTATCCGAACACTGGAAATCCTTCAGAACGCTTCAACTTCTTGGCGTGTTAGCTGAGTCTTCCCTCGTGTATAGGCCAAGACTATCAGGCAAGCTCTACAAATAGCTAGAAGTTCTTCAATGGGAAATCCCCTATCGGCCATCACGAGGTGTTGCTCTGAATTAAGTCTAAAAACCCAGTGTCTTGTGAGCTCCAGATCGCTCACCTTCCCACCCCAGCATTTAGAAATGAAACAGATCCCTCCACTTGGACAAAAGGCGACTAAGAACTTTACCATGTTATGTTTGTAGGACGAGAACGTTTGCATCCTCGCCTTAAAGGTGCACGGTCGCTCTATGAAGATTTCCGACCAAACAATGATGCACGGAAGGTTCCGTAGCATTGGTACCTTGCACAGCTTTGGGAGCCGCTGTTGAACTCTGTCCGCTTTAGGCCAGAGAACGCATGGAGACAGCTCAACACTGAGGATGTTAATCCAGGCATGGAAGACTTTTGATACAGTTCCAGGAGAAATTCCAAACCTGGACAAGAGGTCCTTGTTGAGGAGGCCGAGGCGGAGCTTCATCAAAACCATCAGGAGTTGGCTCCAGTGTGGTATCCTGGCACTGAAGTTTGGAGTGTAGAGTGCCAGAATGTAATGGAGCAGAGCCCAGAACATTCCGCTACTTGGTAATCCTGTAAAGAACTCCACCTCCGAGTCATTCTTGAGGTCGACGTTACCATACACAGTTTTTGTTTCTTCTTTGAAAGCTTTATTTTCCATTTGCAGCCTCCTATTTTATTTTCTTCTAGAAGAGTGTCAATGTCAGCGCTAGACAAATCTGTTTCGGACGACACACCTGTTATCTCTAACTCATCCATTGGTGCATCGGGTGCACCGGCCGCGTCGGGCGCGTCGGCCACTTCAGGTTGCATCCGTGAAACGCACGATGATACCGCCGCAGTGCAGCAGGGCTCCGCCGCGATGAAGAAGCCCGATGAGCAAAGACGTGTGGCACCCAGTCTGGGTGATAGGGATCGTCAGATGGTGATCCTAGAGAAAGTTGAAACAAATCGAAACTTATGGCTGCGCTGCTCGCAAAGGCATGAGGACGTGGCAGCTTTACAAAATAAAGCAGTATTCTTCTCTACAAGTATACATAGCACTCATACTTACAAGTCATGAAATGTTTGGATTTGGATTGGGTTTTTTATGGCGCAAAGGCTGCTAAAGCCAAAGAGCGCCAAAGAAGTAACTATTGCATTGAGGGTAAGCGAGAAGAAAGGACTCTAGTGGGACTTTACAAAAGTGTGATATTCCATGTAGGGGATCCTTTTCATATCTACCTCTCTGCTGACGCATGTGCGGGCAACACAGTCGGCTGCCTCATTGCCTGGGATATCAACATGGCTGGGAATCCAACGAAAGACGATGGTGCAATGTTTTCTGGCTGCCACAATAGTTTTCTTCTGAACTTCAACAACAAGGGCATTCCTTGTAGGCAGCAGTGAAGAGATGGCTCGCAAGGCACTAAAAGGGTCAGTGAAAACCACTGCCAGGGGGTATCCTGTGATGGGCTATGTGTTCCGTAGCCAACAGGAGGCCATACAGCTAAGCTGTGAGAATGGTAGCAGCAGTATATATCCGTCTTACAACTTCCACTGAAGAGCCAATGACAGAGCAACCAACAAAGGTCTCAGATTTTGTTCCAACTGTATAGAACTTTGTATAATCGTCATACAATTGAGCAAGTTCATGAAATTCTTGCAGAAGCACAGAACTTTGAGTGCTTTTCTTGTTATACTGTGCAAGAGACAGGTTGCAGTGTATGTCAGGGTGCTCCCAAGGTGCCAAGGTGCCAGGGGATTCGACTACCTGGGATGCCACATCTAATCCGACAGACTCGGCCAAGGTCTTCAATCGCATACTGAATTCGTGAAATGATTGCTGCAGATCCTGGTATCGTTATTGGGCACAAACCCAATGCGTTTAACAGCGACGGCCCAAGCTTGGCGGCGTTCCTCGTTCCTCCGAAATCTAAATAACTTAACTTTTGACAGTCTAGAGTATCCAGAGTATCTACAATAAAACTGGAACGAAAAGTCATCTACTCTAAGAGCAACAGTGTTCAGGAACGGACAACCAAGACAGACAGTGGAAAAGAAAAGAGGTTGATCTCTTATTGCACCCCTCAAGACTGACCACCAACAACAAACGTACGAAAAGAAAAGTAATACTGACGAAAACGACTAAATATTTAGTGTCTGTTTCAAGACATAACCTCATTCCTTCCAATCTCAAAAAAAAAAAAAAAAAAAAGATTAATAGCAACACATGATAAGAATACAGGATGCAAACATGAAGTTTTATAAGTGTGATCCTTCTCCTTTGGGGGAAAATGTAAATATGTAAATAGGTAAATACTAGGGTATGTATAGCTATAATAATAATCTCTTGCTGTAAAATATAATCATTAAGAAAATCAAAAACAACGAAAAATTACAATGCTCTCTGCTCCCTCCTCCCCCCCCCCCCTCAAAAAATAATTAAGGCGACAGACAAATAAGAAATAAAATGAAAACATACATGAGAACGCCAAGATACGTAGAAATACATAACTAATTTTAAAATAAAATCATTAAAAGAGAATAAAATTTTAACATTGTTTCCAATCCATTTTCTTATATATTCCAGTACGAAAATTTTAAATAAGACAACTTCCTCGTCGTCAAGAACACAGAAGACAAGAGGCAGGACCAAGCGGAACAACAATAACTTAATACCAAAGGAAAAAAAACGAAACACAAATACTCACAATTGCTCGCAAGATTCTCCAAGTTCGTTCCAATGCCAATGTTCAGCTGTCTCCCTGTTTTTCTTTTTAATTGGCTTTAAGGACTAAAGAAACTTTTGGTCAATTAAGGCCCTCATTTTTTATATTATATTGGATCAAACCTGTCATACCGTCAGGTGGTGCAGGTCGAGAGGAACAGTTTATTTCTTTTTTTATCTCTCACTTAGAAATTGAGTAATTGAATTGAGTCTGTTGATCCCGGCCTGCATTGTGCAGCCAACTGCACAACAGTGTGATATCTTCGCTGCGACCTCATGTTCAGAAGACTGAACGGTAATGTAATAAATTGCTGAAACACACGGAGCTGCTCACAAGAGCTCCCTTCCATAGTTGCCCGAGTCAGGCAATCGACACACTCACGTCCAGCGGCGTCATTTTGCGGAAATATACAGAAACAAAATTGTGAAGCCGACTGTCAAACTCTGCGGCATCTGCGTAAACGGTAAACACCCAGAAAACGCAAAACATGTGGCCAGAATAACCGAACGAAAACAACCTCTTGAGGGCGTTGCCATTGAAAAACATGTAAACAAAACCTGAACCGGAAAAGATTTTTGCCCAATGTCATGGCGACCGGAAGTGCCCGGAATGCCATGTATAAGTGGTTCCGCGCTATAACCAAAACGTCCATTTTTCAGGCCAAAATACATGCCATGAGATAACTTACCTTTGTAAAACTATGTTTTATGTTAGATTAAAAATAAACCTTAGTCTGAGGGAAGTCTTTATTTCACCAGACTAGTACACTTCTCTCATGTGTCACACATTTTGAAAGAAATGAGCGACTTCTGCCTGGCGCAGCCTCTTAACGGCGTTGCGGACGGACGTTGCAAGCGTTCAGGATTGCTAACCCTGATCACGTTCCTCCAGTGATGAAAACGCGTGAAAATTTGAATTCTTGAATGCGCGCCAAAAAAGAAATTCGGGAGATGTTCGAAACCACAAATGCTTAGAAAGCACCACTGTAGTCGAAGTAAACAAACACGACGACACGGACGTTTCTGCTGTCTTGAGAGTGCCGCCACGACATCGCCACACAAGTGGGTGGATCTTCCCTTCTAGTACGTGCTTGGTTATCATAGCGACACACAACGAAAATTCAGTCAAGGATAGCGCTTTTATGCAGAACGATGAGCTTCCACCACGCCGTCCACGTCGACGATCACCACCGACGCCATGTTGGCAGATAGAAACCGGCCCGCAACCGGCATGCAACGCGCGCGACCAGTTCTCCTTGACCTGAGGAGAACTGGTCTGTCGTTGCGGTTGTTTCCAACCAGCGCCTCCTTCCATTGCAGTGGGTGAAAGTTGGGCTCGCTCCTACTCGGCTTTGGCAGGGCGAGCTCGGTTGGAGGAGCCAAGGAGAGCACACCCACAATCCAGAGCTCCAACAAACCAAATCACCACGGGCACAAAAACCCCAGGAAAAATCCAGTCTTTATTAATTCCAACGGTAAAGAACTAGGATTACAGCCTACTGAAGCACACTGGCAGCTACTTCACCTTTACGAAGCGGTAGCTGACAGTCCCGACAAACGCGGCAAAAACCGCGACAAAGAAAATGAGACCAGGAGAATCACCCGTGGCGGGCCGCACTTGGCAGAAATGGGGAGGAGGAGCTGGGAAGGGCACCACCCGGCCGCCACCCGAGGACCCATCGCTAAGTCGGATTGAACCACCGCAGCAGGCAGCCCTGGTCCGGCAAACAACAGGCCACGGATTCACCGAACTCCCATCTCCAGAGGCCAAGAGAGCTCGGCCCGGAACCTCGGTGGGAAACTCGAAGAACCCCACAGACCAAAGCTCCCCACGAGCCAATCAGCAGCAGTACAGTCCAAGTTTGAGACCTCTCACCATGCTCGCCTGTCTTCTCATGAGAAGACAGCCTGACGAACAGGAGCAACAGCCACCAGAACGGGAGAAAGAGGACCCTCCGGAGGTAATCAGCATGGATCTAGACCCGGAGATACGCAAAGACGACTTGTCCGAGGAGCAGCCCCGAGTCAGTGAATGTGTAGGGGGGGACTGTTCACTCGCAATGGAGGAAAAAAACAACGTCCCGGTTCCCGACGAGGAGCCTCCGCGAGAAAACCAGCCATCCATTCTTCGCGAATCGCCAGCGGCACCGGCGGAGCCCCTGGACCGGGAAGGCCCCTGGATAACCCAGGGGAAAAAGAAAAACCAAGGACCGACCCCACAACAAAAAGAGGCACTTGAGGAGCACCGTGCTCGTCTACCCCCTTCCAGGATCAGGCAATTTCAAATTAAAAACAAACTCCTGATCGCGAGAGCCCTGTCACTCGCCACCGACGGACAGGCAAGGGCGGTGCGCGTAAATACAAGGAAAAACGTCACGGCAGTTGACATTCAAGACACCACAACAATTGAGAAGCTCCTGCGGACAACAGTTATGCATAACATCAAAGTTCGGACTCAACTGCATGTCCCACAGCGGGGAACCCAAGGAGTGGTCCGCCCTCGCTTCCCGGCCAGAACTCACATCCAGGGGTGCCTAGAGGCGGCGGCACCCATAACAGAGACTCGGGTGTTTGACAAAGGTAGAAAGATGCAACTCCGCTTTGACGGTCCACGACCCCGGCACGTGAAACTCTGGGGCATGCGACTCCCGGTCCTGGAGCCGAGGGCAAGGCCGACTCAGTGCGAAGGCTGTGGAAGGTTGGGCCACCTTCGAGCAGCGTGCACCGATCAGCGGGCCTGCACTACCCGCAAAGGAAAGCATGAAAAGGGTAAATGCCCAACGAAACAAAACCCGACCAGTCCCAACTGCGGAAGCCCCCACGACGCTTTCGATCGACGCTGCCCGGCGTACAAACATGCAAGGGCGACAGCGGAGATTACGGCACGGAACGGAGGCGACTGGAGTGCAGCTTCCGGAAAGGCAAGTGGACAGGAACCACGAGCCAGCGTT